AAATCCCATCAAAATTCCATCAAAAATGTTTTAAATGTTTTTTGAATAAAATTCTGGAAATAAAAATGAAAATAATATTGATTGCCATGTGCAGTGCTCTGGAGATAGCATCTCATACTCAGCTGGGCACCACCTATGTGAGCCCTGATCTGTGTTTGCAGCTTAGTCAATGTAGTAGTGGGGATGCATTCAAGTAAGAGCACAATGTCATGCAACACACTGAAGGTACCAATTGACCCAATGTGATCACATGCAGTGGTTTGAAGGCACACAATATAGCCATCACAATTAAGTTTAGATCTGGTCCTTATCTAGATCAGGTTTTCTTAACCTTTTCCAGTTTGCAGCCTCGTTTTGTATGAGAAATGTATAGGTGATCCCAGATATGAAACATATGTATACAAATCAATTCCATAGGACCTTTCAAACCGTGGACCAAAATAGAGAGGTTCCCATCTCTGTTTTAGAGGTACATCATTAAACAGATTTGTGAGACTGTCTTATGTCAGCACACAACATATTTTATCAGTTTTCAAGACTCAAGACCACAGTAGAGTCCATCTCTAACAAATTTCCTGAATGTTCTACTCAGCATCAAAATGTGCCTAGGGAGCTACCATTCAGCTTTCACATAATATTGGTTTGCATAGTTCCTCTGATTACATTACATCAAGAGCTCTATAAGAAATTCTAATACCAGCTTAGTGTATGTGTTTTTCTGCCTAGAACAATAATTTTGGTTGCTGTTTACTTTAGCTGCCAGATCAGCTTATTAATTCTATTTTATTACAATCTTTATATGCTAACCTGTGTTATAAGATCTCCGAGTGACAAACAGATAAAAATAAATAAGGAGTTAAACAAAAATAAATGATTTTTAAAAACTTGAAATTTTTGAAAATAAAAAAGAGTAATAGATAGCAACCATATTTTTAAAATTATCCGGTTTTAAAAGTTAAAGCAGTTTAAGTTTTAAAATTATGTTCACTCCTACAAAAACAGTCTGGCTGCCATGTTTTGGAGCTTTTAAACTTGGTAGAGACGTTGCCAGTGTACAGTGCCTTGCAGAAGTCCAACTTTTCATTCTAGAAAGGGACACAGCTAGCACAACAGCTGAAGCTGATAATAAGCACTGCTGATGGCTATGTCACATCTATCTGGTCTGATATTTAGAGTGATGGATCATGGAACACCTCCAAGCTACAAATGCAGTTTTTCAGGGAAGGTAACCCCATGCAGGATTGTGTGACCCTGATAGTAAGCAGCAGATCTGTCTTGTCTGGATTAATTTTCAGTTTGTTTTTCCTTATTCAACCCATTACCTCCTCCTGACATACATTCAGAGGAGACACCATTCTTAGCTAATGCCAATATAGTTGTACATCATGTTTTTAATTGTATTCCTTCAATTGATGGTCCAAATTGCTGGATCATTTGTAGTTGTAAAAATGTGCATTTGTAGTTGTAAAAATACTTTATATTTCAAAACTGGAAATATAATAATGCATCACCTGTCACTCAATGATCAGAAGAACCTTAGCTAGCAACTTCAAGGAAATGTGTTTTTGGAAATACAGCCAGGTAATATAAATATATATGCTCAAATCCTATAAAATTTCTCTTCCTTACCTCATCCCAGTTCGCTCTCCCTTCTTTATTGCTTTTCTGAATCTTCCCTTTGTAATCACATTTTAAAATCATTTATTAAAAAATGGATGGCCACTCCCATCTACCTCAACCCTCTTGTAAAGAGGTTCTACACCTAAAATCAGACATGAAGGAAGCAGAATTTGGATTGTCTTGTTATATGATGCCACTTGGAGTCCCCCTCCCCTGAAAAAGAAGGGGACATTCTTAGGAAAATAATGTAGAGTGCATTGTCATCACTTTGAATGGTTCAAATGGCTTGAACACTACTGGTTGCTGACATCTAATATATTCAGAGATGTAGTGTAAAGTTGACAAGATAGCACAACACTAAATCAAAGTAAATTTATTATTTGATATGGCTATTATATATTCATGTCACATATCATGGACCAACAGAATTTATTATCTGGAAAAGTGGTGATGACCACCAGTTAGTAACAATGTCCACTATCATGGAACCTTCTTAAAAAGTTATGATCAATTTTGTGGAGGGAGACAGATAATTCAATAGCTAATAAATGTGTTCATAAATAAAACCGAATATCTGTTTAAAAAAGGCAATACATCGCCAGCTTGGTCTTCCAGAACCTGATGCATTGCAGGTGTGGTGGGCTGTAAATCCCAGAATCTCCTACCCTTATGCTGTGGATTTTGAGAGGTGCAATCTCAGAGACAATACAATAGGGGAGACTGCTTTAAATGTGTGGATCTCAATCACCCATGGCCCTCCTAGCTTCAGGTTTCAGCAACCCTCTTTATTAGCCATATCCTATGGCTTGGGTATCTGGACTTTGGAGTTCAACAAATCAGGAAGACTAATTGCTGTGTGCTGTGGATATAAGTGATGGTTGGAAGCATGGCTGTCTTCACTATGCCATACATGGGAGCATTTTGGAAAGAAGCAGCTGTTTAATCTAGACTAGATGGACCTCAAAAATGCTTTACAGTGTTCATTCTGTAAAGTATAACCAAACTTCAGCCAAATGTCATTAATGTGTTTCAGTCAAAGAAAGCATTTAAGGAAAGATAGGAGAACATTTAATATTTCCCATATTTCATACCACATGTTTATTATGAGCTGTAGGAATGAAATGTAACAGGAACAGGCTTTCATGATAAATTGGAAAATTAATACATCTTTTAATCTGGGTGCATTATTAAACTGCTTCCTTTTGTTCCAGGGAATATTTTTCAGGAGGTAGTTCACATATGATGCATTACCCAAATTACATATGTGTGATGAAGCAGATTTCTCCCAGGATTCTACCAGATAGAGCTTTCCATCATTTGTTTCCTTCACTTTTTGAGTAGACTGCATCAAATATATTTTCATGTTCTGCTTGACCCAAATTCTTCTTTCATTTCATAAAATGTAGTTCATTTGCCCCATTCTCTCTTTTTCTAAATGTGTTTAGTGAAGTTTGTGCCCTGCTAGCCTCAGAAACCATAGAGGAATGTTAGGTCAAAACAGAAAGTGCTAACACAAAAAGGAAGTTCTAAGCCTTCATGGTTCTGAGTTCACAAAATCCCGTTGTAAAGGAAAAGAACCAACAAAACACATCAAAGAGGTTTTTAAAAAACTCAAAAGAGTGATCTTTCAAAAAGAGCACCAATTAATGTTAAAAGTTACAAGCAAAAAAAACCTTTTAGCGTGATGAAAGTTTTTAAAAACCCTGTGGAATATCAGCCTACAAAGGTCTTCTTACCTATTGAAAAGGATACTACAGGATTGTTCATGTCATGGTGAGAGGAAGGCAGAAAAGTGCAGTTCATTCATCGTAGTTGTCTCAAGTCCTTGCATCTGAAGATATGGTTTTATATTCACAAATGATCATGATTATGCAAAAATAACAGCCAGTTAGTCTTAAAGGTACCACCGTGCTTCTTTTTCTTTTTTTCTGTACTCCTTCCTTCCTCCTTGTCGAATACTGAGGGCATCATGAAAAACTAATAGTTTTTCATCCATCTGTTAATTCTACAGAAGAGTAGATAATGCATTCAGCTTTTATAATAAGGTATTCGCATCAGAGGCAAAAGGAACAAAATGCCAAGCTGGCTACAACAATGGGATGGAATGAACTAGCTATTTTCTTGGCTGAGACTCAAAATGACCTGGTAGAGCTGTGGATGAGATGAAAACACAGAGAGAGGGCTTGTAAGGTGCATATGTAGGATCTCAACTTGGGAGTCTGTATACTAAGGCCTTCAAAATCCATTGTATTCTTAAAGATAAGCAATATTATGGAATTCTGGAGTCAGTGCTTGGTAAAAAAAAAATTGCTCTAATTTGTGCCAAGAATACTTTAAATAATGAGAAGGTGAGAAAGAAAAAAAATCAAGAGGCAAACTTTACAAAAATAAATGGATCCTAAAGTAAATCAACCCTGAATTCTTTCTAGAAGCCAATATGGCTAAATTGAGACTGTCATATTTTGACCATATCACAGGAAGACATGATTCATTGGAAAAGTCAGTAATGTTTACTAGGTTAGAAGGCAGCAGGAAATCATAGTCAGAGGTTCACATTCCTGAGGTCACCATGAATTGTCAGCTTGAAGGCATTTAACAACAAACTATGGGGTACCAAAAACCTAAGCTATCTAGAAGAGATATCCTGTTAGTTGGAACCTTTACTAGCTGTGTATTTAAATGGTTGTCTTTGGTTTCTGGTGAAGTAAATGGACCTGAATTGAACTGTGGCATTAATGGAAATTCAAAGGCGGCATCCTTACACCTCAGATTAACATGTGAAAATATTTCTATACTTTGAAAGATAAGATTATTTTATCGAGACACTCTCCTGTACAAAAAGACGGGTTTAAATATTTCAAAATTACACGTCTTATAATCAGCAAAATAATATCATCACCAAAAGAAGTTAATAACTATCTCCATTTTGTGGTCCAAACAACAAGAACATTCAGCAGCCAGTGAAAAACAATGAAGGAGCCAAATAAGTATGAGCATAGGGCAAGATTTTTCTTAACCTATTGGAAAGGTTGTCTCTTTCATCCTGTTCAAATGTCCATGTGCCTTGAGATATAGAGAGAAGGTCGAAATAGTGGGCAGATTGTGTTGAAGCTGCCATGCTCCTATATTAATGGCTGATTCCAGATATAGACAGGATATTCTTGCTTTGTCTAGTGACCCATTTTCCTAGTTCCAGCAGACCTCACTACCTCTGAGGATGCTTGCCATAGATGCAGGCAAAATGTTAGGAGAGAATGCCTCTAGAACATGGCCATACAGCCCGAAAAAACCTACATCAACCCAATTTATCAAATGCCACCTTTTTGAGTCTCTTATGACTCTCTAACATATGCATTATCCTTTTTCTCTTCCTTCATCAGATGCACTACATTGCACTACCGTACAGATCTGCCTCCAACCAGTATCATCATTACCTTCCACAATGAAGCTAGATCTACCTTATTGAGGACCATAAGAAGGTAAGATGCAGCAATGAAGCTGAAAATTACTTTGTTGCCAGGATTCCAATTGCCATATAAAAACCTTCAATGTTAACTTTTCATAATAGAATTGAATCTGTATGTGAAAATGGTAAGTGATTTGAGAATAATCACCCATCGCCCAATGACAATAAAAAGGTCTTGGTGGTGAGATTTTTTCAGAATTAGTCCCCTTGAGCTTCTCATAGCGGAGAGATTGTGTGGTTATGTTTTTCTTTTCTCAAAAGCTTGCAGATAGGAAGTTTCTGTTTGTAGTTTTTTGGAGATACTGCTCTATATAAATCTTGACCTATACTGTTTTGACTTTGTGTTAAAATAATGTATCAAAACTGGGAATAGGCACAGTATCCTAGCTGAGAAGGTGGATTATGAAATCCTTGCTTAAATTTTGCTTTAGCCACAGGCTCATGCAGCTGTATTAGGCCAAGGGTAGAGGTCTAATTCCCTCTAAATCACTACTACAGTCTGCACTACTCCAAAAGATGCAACCAGAAGTAGCTAGAAGTCTTCTTTCATTTTTTTCAAAAATCACTTTTGTGTGTGGATGTGTGTGTGGGAGGGGAGCCACACTTAGGAAGGCTTTCAGAAGCATCATTATTACTACATCCTTCTCCTCCTCTTTGTCCTCTTTATGGTAACTTTTATTTTACACTGGGAGAATGTCCATTTCCCACTCTGCTTTGAGATAAATTCCTTCATCTCTGTTTCATCCCTGTGATTTGGAGATGTGAAAAATGCTTTCCAACCTTCTAGGGTAGATGCAAGATTGCCAGTAAAAATGTTTTTAAATATTCAAAAACAATTTCACTATTACTAATTATTATAAAATTATAGCTACAAGGACAGTTATTAGTTCTTTCCATTTTCAAGTGATCATGTACTGCTTCTGTTGTAAATGCTGATTTTGATACTTGTTAGAGTAGAAAGAGCTAAAAGATGGAAGCTAGGTCAGAGCTTATCAATAAGGTTGTGACTGAATAGACTGTAAGCAATAACCCATTCAGATAAATTAATCTATTAAATTTTGAAGTTTTCCTCTTATACCGTTTATTAATTTAACAGCTATACAGTGTGTGTTCCCAGTAATCCAATCAGGAGAAATGTGATTAATTTTGTTCAACTTTTATGAATTATTTATTAAAATAAATGGACTAGCAAAACTTTAATTCACCTGAAGAATCTGAATCATAAAATGCTGCTTGAAACAAGGTTTTGTATGGTTTTATCTGTAACACACCAGAAAAATGTTATGTTGTCAATAAATTGCAAAAATGTTCATAGAAATTTAGTTATCTGAATTCTATTTAAATTCACAGAAATGCCTTTTTAGGGTTTAAAAATTATTACAAAATGAGGATGGAATAAACTTGTGCTTGAAAGAATAATGAACATTATAGTAAGGAAAACATAGTCACCCATCTCTAGGAAAAACTAGGTTATGAACCCAATTTTCTTCTCTACCAGACTTGAATGTTATAATGCACAATCATTTATTTCCCCATTTTTCCTCCTCACATTCAATTCCAACTGAATAATCACTACTCCAGTTTATATAAATTTCTGATACTTAAATATTGGAACGTCTGGTGACCATTGTAACAATGTACACTACTACAATTTGCTTAATGCCAATGCAGTTATTTGGGCAGGGAATGAGAAGGGGAACAGCATATTGACTCATTCATTTTGCTGTTGTTTAGCTCTCTTGCCTGTCTTTTTGTATTGGCAGGTTCTCTATGAACAGATCGTGCAATTACTGTGCTCATTCATTATTCAAAATGATCCCACCACTTTCTAGAGCTATTAATTGCAGGGATGCAGACTGTTCACAAATGATTCATTTCCAGAACTCCAAATGTGACAATCGCAATCTGTTTGAGACCGCGGGAAGGGGAGGATGTGGATGAGGATGGGGACGGGAGACCTCCGGGATTTTAAGCTCATGCAAAATTACTAGTTGTGCATCCATGTATTTTTGCTTAATGCCACTGACTCAGGCCTGGCAATGGAATGACCACTTGATAGGAACAATTTGGTTGCATAAATCTTGAATCTTGCTCCCCCCATAAAATTACTCACACCAATATTTTAAAAATGTGTGGATTGAGACTTGCTTAGGTGTCTTAATCTACTAGGGAGCCTTCTACACAGGAATTAAAATCCAACTTGAAGCTGTCTTGAGGTTGGGGTGTCTACAAAACTCATCCAACCAGAAAACACATGCTAAAAAAACTCACCAGAAATTCCTGTTCTCAGCACAGGGATGCTAGAAATGACGTAGAACTACCACCACCCTGATATAACTTTATGCCAGCATTGTGACTATGTCCTTGGCCAGCAATGAGTTTTGGATCTGTGTAACGTGATTCCACCTCCCCACTCCCTTTATCCTTTTTTGGCTCTTCTCTAGATAGAAAATAGGAAACCAAATAGTTCTATTGTGTTGGCAGAACACTCAGATAACTGCCGGAAGATTGTGCTGGTAGAATGGTATTTCTTCCAGCAGAAAAAGCTTATGGCTAATTCTATCTACCAAGTCAGGGTTGAGTTAGGATTGCATTGTGGAGTCTGATAAAAATAGTTTGTATGGACTTCAAAATCCTTATTAGGGAATAATTCTGTACATGCTTATTTTGCAGTGGCCTTAAAATGTTCTTTTGTCATCTTCCCTGCCTACTCTGTTTGCGTTGTTTGCAATGCTTCCTGTGTGCATCACGAAAGCCAATGCTCATATTAAAATTAAAACTCTGTGGATTCTGGCTCTAAATAAAAATAAAATCTTAATGTTGTGTTCAAGCAAATGAAACTCTGCAGCAAAAGAAACTGTATTCAGTATGCCAGAGCTGTATTACAACTTCACTTAAATATAATGTGTGAAAGGGCCATAATGAAGTAATGGAGAGCACATACTTTGCATACAAATGGTCCCATGTCCAGTCCCTTCACATGGAGTTAGGAAATCAGAATCACAAGAGGGTTGGTTTCCATCAGTGTGGAGAAAACTGGATGGATTAAACAAGAATTATGTGGCAGTCCATGTTATTAAACTGTTCTCACCTCTGTGATTACATGATCTCCTCATTAGGCACCTCTTTGTTTCCAGATATGGTAAAATAGGGAATATTTTTCTTTAATGTTCAGAGACGTCAAAACATCCTTTGGGATAACTAATACATTCACATCTGTTATCAACATATCTTTAAGCTCAATTCCAGAATTCCAAATAACCATGAGGGTGAAAATGGAAACCACAAAAGAGAGTGGATTAGAACAGTGTTTCTCAACCTGGGGTTCGGGACCCCTGGAGGGGTCGCCAAAGACCATCAGAAAACTCAGTATTTTCTGTTGCTCATCAGAGTTCTGTGTGGGAAGTTGGCCCAATTCTCTCATTGGTGGATGCTCTTTGATTGTAGGTGAACTTTAAATCCCAGCAACTGCAACTTCCAAATGACAACCCCCCCCCTCCAACCCCACCAGTATTCAAATTTGGGCATATTAGGTATTTGTGCCAAATTTGGTCCCATGAATGAAAATACATCCTGCATATCAGATATTTACATTACGATTCATAATGACAGTTATGAAGTAGCAACGAAAATAATGTTATGGTTGGGGGTCCCCACAGCATGGGGAACTGTATTAATGGGTCGTGGCATTTGGAAGGTTGAGAAACATTGGATTAGAAGAAGAGTGGTTAAATTGAAAAAATGGCAGGAGACTTGTGGCCTTCCTGAAGTTTTGGACTACATGGTCTGAGACACTGATTTCTCTTTCTTCTAATTGTTTCTTGGGAACAAAGCATGCAATTTCATACACTCTTGTAATTTCCTGATTAATTTCTAATAAACCCAGAATAATTTCACAACACTTCTGGGATGTTCTGTTGACTCATTTGGATGTAGCATGTAAAGTCCATTAGGAAATACAGAATGTATGCATCAGATATGTTTTGTTTCTACCAACAAGGGAGGAAAATCTCAAGGAAGTTATGGTTAGAGATTTATGGGATCTAATTAATATGCAAATTAGGCAAAGGACAGAACATACTAGCTGACGAAAATTTTAAGGCATAATCATTGGTGGACTCAAGTAACTGCTTCAGGTAGAAGATGGTGTTGGACAACAGTTACAGACCACTGGCTGTTCTCTTGACCTGGAAAAAGTTACCCGCTCTTGGAGATAGTGTTTGTTCATAACAAAGTTTTGATCCATAAATCAACTTGCTGCTCTCCAGTGTGATAGAAAGTGCTTTCCCAATGCCGGGGCTGAAATTTAATCCCCATTAGTTTGCTTGAATGCAAAAGGGGACCCTTTGCCTTGAGCAGCAAGATGACTCAGACTAGCCCAGGCATGGGCTAACTCCAGACCTCCATATATTTTGGACTTCAGCTCCCACATTTCCTAACAATCTAATGGCTGTAAGGAATTGTGGGAGTTGAAGTCCAAACACCTGGAGAGCCAGAGTCTGCCCATGCCCGGACTAGCCTAATAGATGGGATCCAGCCTAAGGCCAAAAAGAGCTATGCCACAGAATCATACTAGATGATAGAAGTATTTAGAAGCATTGCTCTTTCAAATAGAGAAAGATGTCTGTCTATCATAGTATATGATTCTGAGCACATCTGTGTCTCACATTTAGATTTTCTGTTGTGATTGATCCTATGAAGGTAAGAAAAGCTTGCTGGTGGAGGAATTGTGGAGTTGATCATGAGAAAGATAAATAAAGAGACAGGGAAAGAAGAAGAAGAGAGGGAAAATGGGAAAAGATACAGTATAAACTGCTCCCATGAAACAGCCATGGTTGAACTGAATTGTGTCTTCTGTTTGTGAAGTAAGTACCAACTGTTGTGCATAAGGCTAGCTTTATTTTTATTTTTTTGCATGAATAATTTTTTTCAAAGTGGGCACTAATTAATGAAATGTCTTTTTGCAGTTATTTTGATGATGGGTGCTTGTGTGCATTTGTCTAATTTGTTTTA